TAACTCAAAGACCGTTCAAATTGGTAGATATGTCAAACATAACCTAAGGTGGTGCCTTTTGCTATTTACAGATTATTGTCATTTTTATTTTTCTCGGTTTCCATGGAAACGTTTTGGACTTAGTCTTAAAGAGGGGTGGGCTTCGTTTCCGGATCATAACTCAAAAACCGTTTAATAATTTTCAACGAGACTTGGTAGATATATCAAACAGAACCTTAAGTGGTGCCTTTTGCTATTTGCAGATTTTTGTGATTTATTATTTTCTCAGTTTCCATGGAAACGATTCGGACTTAGTTTTAAAAAAAGTCATAAAGAAAGTCAAGCTGAACTTTTGGTAACTGTCAGATGATTTGTTTTTTCCAATATGTGGGGGCCGGGGGGATATGTCATCTTCTGATGACTCTTGTTCCTATTGCAAATCTTGCAAATAAACATTCTTTAGGACTGCCTCCATGAACTTCCCGTGAAGATCCGGGTTAGGATTGATCTTTAGTATCCCATGTTTGTCGTAAGAGGCAACTAACGGGATTGGGTGGTCAGACTCGCTGACTTGGTTGACACAAGTATCCCACTTGCGTATCCCAGATTGATGCTCATGCTTTTGATCACTGGGTTGTCTGAATTGCTAAAGAATAATTCACTCATCATGACCACACCTTAGAAAACCGCATCATCTAATGATGTCAATAATCTTTAGTTCTTTCTGGTCACAAGAAGATTTGAATGACCAAACAATGTCGCAGATGCAGAACAAATGAGTGGTGCATGTGAAGTATATTTGCACCAGTGCACATCATAAACAATTACGTCGTCACATGAGCGAAATATTCTCAAGCACGACGTAAAACCCAATTTCACCTCGTAAACAATTAAGAATTTTTTAGCAATGTGTTTGTTTGTTTGTTGTTCGATCCCACACTTAGCAATATTAAAATTACAGCTATATGCGGCAGCCTGTAAATAATCAGGTCTGGACTAGAAAATCCAGTGATTAAAGAAACATCCAACATTTAGCTTGATAATGGTGTAAGAATCTACACCAAAACATCGCTCTGTGCAATAAACAAGGATTTCTTATCCATAAAGTTGTATGCTTCATGATTGACTCACCAACTTGTAGAATGCCGATCAAATAATTAATCCAGTGATTGACATCATGAGCATCGATCTACACAACATGTGTCAACCAAGTGATCCTGTCTAAACATATGGGTAAAAATTATCTTTAGATCATACCATCATACAAAACATATGATTATAATTAAACAAGGCCAGCAGTTTCCGAACATGATCTGAATATATCAGAGAACCAACTTGAAGACTGTAGATATTGATTCTCTTACTTTAATGATACCTTGGCATTTGTAGGTGAAACACAATCTAGGTTATTCCACTTGACCTGTTGTGTAAAAGCTTATCCAAGACACTGTATACACTGATACTATCACTATCAGGATACATGGTTATATATTAAAAACTGATTGCGTTACCTGATACATTGGTGTGACCTACCAGGAGATCATATAGATGGGTACCAGACAACGATACCCGAAACCCACAGCGCAGGAATAACATTTATCATCTAATGGTGGGTGTTATCAGTGCAATAAAGCAATCTGATAAACTTGGTATCAAAATCTGATAACTATGCAAATTACGTCAATCCACGAACTACTTTCACAAAACTCCATACATGCCATGCGATCCTAAAATCTTAACATTTCATTGATGCGTCGTCATGAGTTTACATTGCGTGGACGAGTTTGTAAACAAACATGGCTTCCCCCATTCTCAAAATTGGGGATTCTGTAAGAATTGATGACAGAGGTTCTGGAGTTGTTACTGCAGTACTTGACTTTGGAAAACATGAAACGGAGTACTTCATTCAAATTGGGGGCGGTGGGGTAGCCTAGTGGTTAAAGCGTTGGCTCCTCACGCCGAAGACCCGGGTTTGAATCCCCATATGGGTACAATGTGTGAAGCCCATTTCTGGTGTCCCTCGCCGTGATGTTGCTGGAATATTGCTAAAAGCGGCGTAAAACCAAACTCAGACAGTCATTCAAATGAGTAGTGGTCATGAGTAGTGGTGGTCCGATTAATTGAAATAATTGAAGATTGGTCGTAGTGACTAAACGACCAAGCAATCGATCATAATTTCTCATAATCGAACACAACCAATTTTGGAACACTTGTTTTCATTAACAATATTTTTCACATGGTTGGTTTTGTCTGTTACATTTTGTAAGCACTACAAGCTCGTTTCAAGTCATGATTGAATTTATCTTAAAGGCTCCAAGAAATTTATGTTCCTAACATACTAGTCATCCTTTAAAGATGTGAAATTTTGCCAAAAAGCCCCAAAAGAACTACATGTTTTTTTCCTTATTTTTATGTGCATTAACAAATTTCATAAATGACGCTAACCAATTATTTTCGATGATTGATCGGTTGTAATGAATCAATCATCAATTATGAGATTTTAACCAATTCCCAACACTAGTTATGAGGCACGAGTGACAGGCGATCGTCTAAGAAAGGTACCAACCAAGGATTTTGATCTATCGATCACAATACAGACGGCGAATCGATTCCGTCAGGTATCAGAAACTGATATTGATGAGGTGATTACACTCACTCCCTCACACATGCACTGATTCACTCACTCACTCACACATGCACTGATTCCCTCATGCACCCACTCACTCACATGCACTAACAGATTCACTCACTCACTCATACATGCACTGATTCCCTCATGCACCCACTCACTCCCTCACATGCACTAACAGATTCACTCACTCACTCATACATGCACTGATTCCCTCATGCACCCACTCACTCCCTCACATGCACTAACAGATTCACTCACTCACTCATACATGCACTGATTCACTCACTCACTTACACATGCACTGCTTCCCTCATGCCTCCACTCACTACTCACACATGCACTGATTCACTCACTCACACATGCACTGTTTCACTCACTCACACATGCACTGATTCACTCATTCACTTACTCACTCATTCACCCACTCACTCACACATGCACTCACTCATGCATTCACTAATACTCCCTCACTCACTCACTCACTCACTCACTCACTCACTCACTCACTCACCACTTGGAGACCTTACGATACAATACAAGAAATACAAATACAAGAAGACCACTAATTTTAGTTCTTTATAACCGTTATACATTTAGACTAAAATATACAACAAATGGACGGAACAAAAAACAAACAATTTGTGATATCATGTTCATTATAAACAAAGTTGATAGTATTTATTGGAGAGTGTCAAATTTCAATTATTTTATTCCTTGCATTGATCAATGGTTATGTATTATTAAACAGAACATCATCATGTTTTCCAACAGCAAACCAGAGTGCACCTGCGCCTCTATTAAACAGTCTGTGTTTATATGGATCAGAGTGGAATATGTCTGAGACGAAGTTTACCAATGTCCAGATAACTGATGCAATAGTTACACAAATCAGTATTGCATCTCCCTAGTTTTTCACACGAAAATAAAGCCATGAATTTCTTTGCCATTATCTAATGAAAACCATATGTTTTGAGCAGCCAGCACAGCCTATCACTTCTTACATTATGTTGTGTAACACTATTTGTTGTACACATATGTGCAGCTTGTCAAAATATGACCAACTAAGCAGATTATGTTCGTGAGAACTGCTGACCTAAACAGATTGTTAGTCGTTCATCTGCCTTTAAAAGCAGGCAGAAGAGGCAAATGGGAGAAAAACGACACACAGCGAGAAGAGTATGGACAGGCCAGAAGGAAGGCAAGCTAGGGACAGGAAGGGACGAACTGACCGGTTGGCTCTATAGTTCTATATTCAACCAAATCCTCCAATCCAATAAAAAAGTTTGATCGAATAAAGAAAGTAAACTGTACACTCGTGCAAGTTGGATTGGTCATCCCAGAGATGTTTACACATATTGTCAATTTTAAGGTTGTCAATGAGTAACAGAAGCTGAATTTTGTATACTTTCCAGTGATCTCAAGTATAAGTCGAGCAAGTTGAGCCTTGAATTAATAAAATCACTCTGTCGAAGCTAGTATAGGAGACAAAGTTGGAACACAAATTAAGCATGAATGTCCATTACCATTTTGTAATTTCCTGACACCACTATCAGAAAATGAAATATTAATAATATATTTTTTCTGATTGCTCTGTCTCTGATGGATTTTTTTCCCTTTTCTCATTTTGATAAAAAGATATATACTGAATAAGCCATTCATGTTTGCAGCTGTAGTCTTCATATATTGATCGCCTAAAGCTGGAAAAAGTATAATTTGGAATGAACCACCGTGACAGTGTAATACGTGATGGTGATCTTATATCATTAGAGCTTGAAGTTTGACATATAGGAAATGTTCAAATGTCTTTTTCAGATTGCTTTTTAAAGCTTTTAAAAAGTCATGTGTGCTGAAACGTTTTCCCCGTTTCTGTATTATATGGAATATTGAGGAAAACAACTTAATTATAGTTTTTCTGCTTCTTTTAACTTCTCCCAACATGTGTAAATAAAAGATACATAATGGAAAAGTTAGTACAAAGTTGCTTTTACAGTAATGATGTAATTTTTAGACAAAAAATCAACTCAATGTAACATGTTTTATTTGGTATAACATTTTCGCAGGTAAGTACAAATTCTAGTACTTTGTTTTTTATATATATTTTATGGGTTTCAAAAACTCACTCTCAGAGTGAGACACCTTATCACCAGCACACAAAGTCAGTGATCTAACCAGTGTTGTAAACTCCCCAAAATTTCAGCCAGACAACTGGTCTGGTAACTCTCAAAAGTTACCAGACCGGCTGGAAAGTTACCAGTCCAGAATTTTCAGGATTAAGATAAAATATAAAGGAGGTAAATAAGAGGAGGGAACTGTTTAATGTCAGGTTATTGTTACAATAACACGTTTTTAAATTTTCAGTCAAGGCTTTAGTCATTCTATAATATACATTACAAAATTATGCTGATTCAACAGCCAGACCATCGGGCGTGCAACTTTTTAAAACTGACCGTCCGGTCGCAAAACAGACCATCCCGGACGGTAGGGCAGGCGGGAGTTTGCAACGCTGGATCTAACCCAGTCAGCCACTATAGCATCCACAAGAATGAAGTCTGACAACTTTTAATCTAGACTACATACTTGGACGAGTGTAAGGAGGCACAGCATGACTGACTGACTGAGTTTGGTTTTACGCCGCTTTTCGCAATATTCCAGCAACATCACGGCGGGGGACACCAGAAATGGGCTTCACACATTGTACCCATGTGGGGATTCGAACCCGGGTCTTCGGCAGGCACAGCATGAGCATCAGTCTATGCAATTGGGAACCGATGACATGTGCTAACCAAATCAGCGAGCCTGACCACCTGATCCTGTTAGTCACATCCTACAAGCATGGATTGCTGAAGACCAATTCTAACCTGGATCCTCACAGGTCTGAAAGCTGTGAATACACAGTGCCTTTTACTGAGAAACTGTTCAGCAAATATAACGTGTTGAATTTGACCACTTTCTAAATGGTATTGCGTATCTGTATCAAATCTTTGTCTTCTTCCAGTTAAAAGAACTGCTCTTACCAATGAGCGATAAATTTCATCAAATGAACATGAGCCTTGAACCGTTACTTCAATATCATGCAACAGTATGCAGAAACCTGATGTTGAGTGTAGAGCTCAGTTGACATCCATGAGTAATACACATTACCAGACATAAGATTAACACGTCTTTACCACACCACCTGTCAACCATATGTATTACACAGGAAACCATTGGCAATAGATCTTGTGTGGTGTACCACAGCCTTCTGGCTATCTATAGCACTGCTGCTTCAATGCCATGCAATGTGTTGAACTTTCAGACCCCAAGCTCCTACAAATGCAGAGCTGAATTGACTTCTATGAGTTGTAACATTACGTGACTTTAGATGGACATGTGTCAGTACCGTATCAACATTGGTGAAGGTTACACACCTGTAGAGTTTTGATTATGTGCAGGGCACCTGCAAATTCCAGAGCTTCCAACCCCAAGAGAGAACAAAGCTTGAGATGCTGGGGTCAATGGGTCCCCAGCCAGGTCCTGATGCCCCTCTGAAGACAACATAATGGGATATTCCCTTCTTAGAAAGTCACTCAAAACAATGTTTTCAGACCTGTTGGTTGGTTGGTATGTTGTTTAACACCCCACTCAGCAATATTCCAGCAATATGGCGGTGTGAAACCAGTCGGTTGGTTGGTATGTTGTTTAACACCCCACTCAGCAATATTCAAGCAATATGGCGGTGTGAAACCAGTCGTTTGGTTGGTATGTTGTTTAACACCCCACTCAGCAATATTCCAGCAATATGGCGGTGTGAAACCAGTTGGTTGGTTGGTATGTTGTTTAACACCCACTCAGCAATATTCCAGCAATATGGCCATGTGAAACCAGTTGGTTGGTTATAATGTTGTTTAACACCCCACTCAGCAATATTCCAGCAATATGGCGGTGTGAAACCAGTCGGTTGGTTGGTATGTTGTTTAACACCCACTCAGCAATATTCCAGCAATATGGTGGTGTGAAACCAGTCAGTTGGTTGGTATGTTGTTTAACACCCCACTCAGCAATATTCCAGCAATATGGCGGTGTGAAACCAGTCGGTTGGTTGGTATGTTGTTTAACACCCCACTCAGCAATATTCCAGCAATATGGCGGTGTGAAACCAGTCAGAGCATGAGTAAGAAATGCATGAGTCTCAAGTTCAATGCGAGAGAGGTTGCAGATATGAAATTCTTCTGACCAAATATTATCTAATTTACACTAATAGGCTACGAATATTCACTCATTATTCCAAGAAGAATGTCACTCATGCAACATTTTTTTACTTTTTCTTTTGAAAAAAGACTATGGTTATTATATAGATTTATTAGATTTACACAGAATTATAGATGATCTGTCTTGAAAAGATGTGTAAAATACATGAAAGTGTGAAAAAATGTCCTGGCATGGCTCTCTTGGGCTAGATAATCAGTGATTCATTGTAAGTTAAGATATTCTTTAACTTCTGAATGTGTTCGATCATTGACGTGGGATGTAGCCCTGGAGAATTAACATGGAGGGTTTCATGAGTGGTGTTTATTGTATCCAGAGATGCAAGGAGACATTTATTTGAGAAGTTAGATCATATATATTTATCGTCCTTGGCATCAGTTTCAGACTTTAAGCTCGAAATCCCAGATGATACAAATAATTTACGGTTGAAGACACAGACCTTATTCAACCATGGACAGCGTTACTTTATTATTTATGTTTGAAAGGTCTTAAACAACCAGTATGTCATAACTGAATTAAAGGTACACTCACCTTGGACTAAATGGCAGTCCTACCAAAATTGATAGAAGCCTGTTTTGTTTGTCTGTCTCCTTTTTTATGGTGTTATTAATTCAGTCATTTATGAATGCCCAAATTAGACATGCAAAGGATACCAATTACAATATCTAGACCCAGACTGAACATGGGTACCAGTTTTGTGGGATAGTGTCCCTTTAAGTATGATTTGTATGTCGCAAAGTACCTTTGTCATCAGACAGTAAACAGATGATTCAGGAAGTAGAAGTATGTTGCTTGTAATCCCCAAGTCATAAGGGACTTCAAGGTAATTGTTTGATCAGCATTTTACAAGTTGGTGAGTCAATAATGAAGCATACAACTATAGTCTGTTTGTTGTGAAAACGTACCGATGAATTTCACTTTAAACAAAAATGTAAATCGAATCAAGTGAAATTAAGATTGCGAATGATGACCTCATGATTTTACCTTGCCTAAATTGAACATTTAAATCTCAGAATTTTATTCAGCTTAGGATAAAAGTTGTTTAACAAACGATCATAGATTCAAGTTGCTATTATTGGTTTGTATTTCAAGGGGGGTAAGCGCAGTAGTTGGAACATTGAAACAAATGCACGTGCGGTACATGATGAGCGTCAACTTAGACTTACCCTACTTGTTCTCGGTGTTCCATTTAGGGTGCCTACCCCCTTGTAATACAAACTAATAATAGCGATTTGAAACTATGATCTGTTTGTTAAACAACTTTTATCATAAGTTGAATAAAATTCTTAGATTTCAATGTTCAATTGGCAAGGTAAAATCATGAGGATTAGCAATCTTAATTTCACTTTATTCGATTTACGTTTTTGTTTAAAGTGATATTCACCGGTAAGTTTTCACAGCAAACAGACTATGGATGACAACTTCTTGTTTATTACATAGAGCGACTTTTCGATGTAGATACTTACACCGCTTTCAAGTTAAAAGAGACTAAACCAAGTGAAGAGAAATATATATACAAAGTATGTTACGACGAACCACAGATTCACATTAACAACAGATGTAATTGAATAACAACTGGTGCATGATTGAATGGGGCCAGTTGTGGACTAAGAACAACAAATAGCACAGATGATGAAGCCAATAAGCACTGGGGATAAGGTATTAAAAACAAGCTGCTATGGTTCTATGATATTAATTGTTTGTAGGCAGATGGTCAAAACATACTATGTATAGTGTGTCACATGGAAGGAGTTTAAATCCCCACTTGGCTCCAATACATAGGTTTGGTCCAGTCAAAGCTAAACATACTTTTCACACCTCAACTGATTGTGAATATACAATGCCATGCTAGCTGTGCCAATTTACATTTATCAGAGGGGTACACAAAGTCTGTAGTCTAAACTACCAGTTATCAGACTTCCATTGTTGTGTAAGCCGTGGTGGCTGAGCAGGTTAGGCAGCTGACTTTGTGTGCTGGCCATTTGGTGACTGACTCTGTAGGTGTGGGTTTGAATCCCGGATGGAACTCAACCCAACAAAAGTACTAGAATCGGTAGTTTGTTGAAAAAGTGTAATCCCAAATATAACATATGTTACACTCAACTGATTGGTCCATAAGTCGAAAGTCAAGTACTACTTGGAGCCAACTACCTTTAATGTGTTTGTTCAGTTATCTGCATTCAGAATATATTACTTTTTCTTATTTAGGTAATCATGAAATCTTTAATATTTTATCACACTATCCAACTGGAAAAGAACATTCTGGATTGAATCGTTCTTGGCACACATGTGAATTATAATACTATGTATATGCTTTACTGCAGAGACATATTGAGTTATCACTCCCAGTATTGACGATCAGGCATACAAGCATAATCAATACTGTTTAACTCGTACAGCTTTTCATCAACATACAAATAAAAAATCTGTAAGTTAACACCATGACATTAGTATGCTAATATTTTAGATGGATAAAAATGTGCTCAGATTTCCTTCAATTTCCATATAATTTCATTCACATGATAAAGTTTATGGCTGGTCTTAGTAAAAAGGCCCTTTAAATGTGTAGAGAGTGCACTTATGCATAAATTAAAGTCTTGTAGCTCTGGTCTAGTATTCAGTGAGCTTGGACTGCCTCACTCAGTGTCTTGTAATGAAGGCTTATTGTCATTTGTTAGAGCAGCTTTAGACAGCATCTATGAATACAATACATGTGTAACTGATCCATTTATTATGTAGTACGTAATGATTTGCTGCAGTGTTTGTTTGCTTGCGCCAGGAAACCCTTGTCTAAACTCACTGGCAAAGTTAGATAATTATTACCGAACAAACACGCATTGCATTGGTGTATGGATTATATTAAAATTAGTTCCTTCTTTGTAACCTCTTTTGCATATTTCATGGTCAGTGGCACCAAGTTATTTACCATATTAGTTAACAATCAATAACATGATTGATTAAATGTTATGTATTAGTTTCTGTGAAAACCAATGAAATGACTGATAGCAGGGACCTCAGTCCTTGTCCAGTTCATATCTGCTGAATAGCCTCAAGGTTATAGTATGGAGAGAGTGGTCTCCCTTTGAGGAACTTGCAACATGGCTGCTGAGTGAACAGGAATGGAAGAAAAGATAAATGTTTCTGTGTGGGGAATCACATTTTTCTCTTGCTATACAGATCAGTCTGATTGTTATTGTGATGATCTTGAATTTTAATTTTCATTCATGTTTTCATGATGACAATTGACTTGAGGTTTCTTGAGCAGAACTTCGAAACCGTTGAAATATTCCACGATGCAACTTGCTGTGCTGACAGCATCTTGTAGTGAACTGGTGCTTTTTGATAATTTGGAATATTGTTTTCTTCCAATGAAGGTATCCAATTAATAGCAATGAGCCAAAACTGGGGTGTAAGTAACCAAATTCCATTTCCGAAATTTTGAAACTGATCACTTTTATTTTTCTTGATGAAATGTTCATCCCACCGTTCATAAAGAATAAACACTATTTGGCCTTTGTTTCAGTATGACCGGGGTCATCATGGCGAGATTGATGTGGAGGACTTCCGTCGTCTCCTCCAACATCCACAGATACAAGCAGAGATGGACCGGCACACGCTGGAAGTGTTGGAGGTCAAGGCCACCGACCCAACACGCAAGATGATCAGTTACCAGGAGTTTGTCAATATTGTAAGTATATAGCCTGGAGAATTACCAGGAAGTTTCTACATAGTGTAGTTATGGTAGGAAAGCCTACCAGGAATTGTCAACATTGTGTGTTAGTTGTAGGAAATCTTACCAGGGATTGTCAACATTGTGTGTTTATTGAAGGAAAACTGACCAGGAATTGTCAACATTGTGTGTTTATGGTAGGAAAGCCTACCAGGAATTGTCAACATTGTGTGTTTATTGAAGGAAAACTGACCAGGAATTGTCAACATTGTGTGTTTATGGTAGGTAAGCCTACCAGGAATTGTCAACATTGTGTGTTTATTGAAGGAAAATATTGTTTTCTTCCAATGAAGGTATCCAATTAATAGCAATGAGCCAAAACTGGGGTGTAAGTAACCAAATTCCATTTCGAAATTTTGAAACTGATCACTTTTATTTTTCTTGATGAAATGTTCATCCCACCGTTCATAAAGAATAAACACTATTTGGCCTTTGTTTCAGTATGACCCGGGGTCATCATGGCGAGATTGATGTGGAGGACTTCCGTCGTCTCCTCCAACATCCACAGATACAAGCAGAGATGGACCCGGCACTGCGCTGGAAGTGTTGGAGGTCAAGACCACCGACCCAACCGCGCAAGATGATCAGTTACCAGGAGTTTGTCAACATTGTAAGTATATAGCCTGGAGAGTTACCAGGAAGTTTCTACATAGTGTAGTTATGGTAGGAAAGCCTACCAGGAATTGTCAACATTGTGTGTTAGTTGTAGGAAATCTTGCCAGGGATTGTCAACATTGTGTGTTTATGGTAGGTAAGCTTACCAGGAATTGTCAACATTGTGTGGTTATTGAAGGAAAACTTACCAGGAATTGTCAACATTGTGTGTTTATGGTAGGAAACTTACCAGGAATTGTCAACATTGTGTACCAGGAATTGTCAACATTGTAGTTATGGTAGGAAAATCTGACCAAGGAATTGTCAACATTGTGTAGTTATGGTAGGAAGGAAATCCTACCAGGAATTGTCAACATTGTGTGTTTATTGAAGGAAAACTTATCAGGAATTGTCAACATTGTGTGTTTATTGAAGGAAAACTTACCAGGGATTGTCAACATTGTGTGGTTATGGTAGGAAATCTTACCAAGAATTGTCAACATTGTGTAGTTATGGTAGGAAATCTTATCAGGAATTGTCAACATTCTGTGGTTATGGAAGGAACTGTTGCCAGTAATTGTCAACACTCTGTGTTTATATCAGGATCACATATTTTGTTAACACCAGGTGTCCCTACTAAATGACTCCAATGTTTGGAAGAAGCTTTTAAGGATTTGAGTTTTTCATTTCCCATTTTGCTATATTTTATTATTCTGCTGGAAAATTAATATCAATACAGTTTTATTGTATCTAATAATATGTAATATGTGTTTGCCGGATCTTAATTTCCATTTAGAAATAACATTTAAACCTTAGCTTTCAAAATTCCTACAAAATGTGTAGCCCGATTTGTATCTTGTGGCAAGAACATCAATATCACCTTCCCAGAGGGCTTAACAGTTTAGAAATGTAGCCCTGTTTAGAATTTAGAAAAATTCCACCTTGCGAGCCTTGGCATGTCTAATAAATCGCCAGCCCAGCTTAAAACCGATTTCAATTCCAGGTTTCTGTGACTGTGGACTGAACAATAATGGTGAAAGTCAATAACTCTGTAAAGTTCCATGAGCTGATCATCATTGATCTGTGTGGAATAAAAATTGCAACTCTTCTGTGACACATTAATATTGGTTCATTATCTCAGTGCCTCTCCTGATAGGTGATATCCGTTACATTAACTAAATCTACACATGTATAATGAACCAGACTATCAGAGATGTCATTGTTAAACGTTGACTCTCCATGAGCAAAACGGCCCATCTTGGACAGCTTGGCTTCATATAGTACTGTGCCATTGTAAGTCAATGCCTACTTGTGAGAATGGCTTCTTACCTGTTTGCCTACTTGCCTACTCCCTACTCACCCACTACCATGCATTTGATGCCTAGTAAGCCTACTTGCCAACTTTCCTGCATGCAATGCTTTGCCAACCAATCTACTTGTCTGCATGCAATGCTTTGCCAATCCAATCTACTTGTCTGCATGCCATGCTTTGCCAACCAATCTACTTGTCTGCATGTCATGCTTTGCCTACTGATCTACTTGTCTGCATGCCATGCTTTGCAATCTACTTGTCTGCATGCCATGCTTTGCCAACCAATCTACTTGTCTGCATGCAATGCTTGCCAACCAATCTACAACCAATCTACTTGTCTGCATGCCATGCTTTGCCAACCAATCTACTTGTCTGCATGTCATGCTTTGCCAACCAATCTACTTGTCTCCATGCAATGCTTTGCCAACCAATCTACTTGTCTGCATGCCATGCTTTGCCAACCAATCTACTTGTCTGCATGCCATGCTTTGCCAACCAATCTACTTGTCTGCATGCCATGCTTTGCCAACCAATCTACTTGTCTGCATGTCATGCTTTGCCAACCAATCTACTTGTCTGCATGTCATGCTTTGCCTACTGATCTACTTGTCTGCATGTCATGCTTTGCCAACCAATCTACTTGTCTGCATGTCATGCTTTGCCAACCAATCTACTTGCCAATGCTTTGCCAATCTACTTGTCTCCATGCTTTGCCAACCAATCTACTTGTCTGCCATGCTTTGCCAACCAATCTACTTGTCTGCATGTAATGCTTTGCCAACCAATCTACTTGTCTGCATGCAATGCTTTGCCAACCAATCTACTTGTCTGCATGTCATGCTTTGCCTACTGATCTACTTGTCTGCATGCCATGCTTTGCCAACCAATCTACTTGTCTGCATGTCATGCTTTGCCAACCAATCTACTTGTCTGCATGTCATGCTTTGCCAACCAATCTACTTGTCTCCATGCCATGCTTTGCCAACTGATCTTTGTCTGCACTCATGCTTTGCCAACCAATCTACTTGTCTGCATGTCATGCTTTGCCAACTCATCTACTTGTCTGCATGTCATGCTTTGCCTACTCATCTACTTGTCTGCATGCCATGCTTTGCCAACCAATCTATTTGTCTGCATGTCATGCTTTGCCTACTCATCAACTTGTCTGCATGTCATGCTTTGCCTACTCATCTACTTGTCTGCATGCCATGCTTTGCCAACCAATCTATTTGTCTGCATGTCATGCTTTGCCTACTCATCAACTTGTCTGCATGTCATGCTTTGCCTACTCATCTACTTGTCTGCATGTCATGCTTTGCCTACTCATCTACTTGTCTGCATGCCATGCTTTGCCTACTCATCAACCTGTCTGCATGCCATGTTACACCATGCCATGCCATGCCATGTTCTGCCTATTCATCTATTTGTCTAAATGCCATGCTTGTTATGCAAGGGTTTGCCTACTGATGTGTATGCCTACTTGCCCATTTGCCTCCTTGCTCACCTACATGTGACCTGGCTTCAAGAATAGGCAGTTGCACTTCTAGCAGTAGCAAACTCAATAAATCAATCACCAATTTATTTTATTTCTTTCAAGACCATAAACAATAATATGACTACAGAACAAAATGAATCTAATTTCTTTTTGCAATTGAAATATAATTTGTACGTAAGTAAAATATCAATATCGTGTGTGCAAATAGCTGGCGTCAGACACAAAACTCATCACATTTAAAGGGTAGACTCTTGTAGTACACATTGAAATGGCTCGACCCTCATTAGTTGTACAGAGAACCCATTCTGCTCAGAAATCCCAACAGGGATTAACCAACTGAAATGAGAAATAGTTCCCCGAAATAGAAGTCTCAGAGACCCAGGAACCTGCAGGGGGCAGATGAGGCAGATGTCAGTTCCAGCCGTGCCGTTTTGTTAGCCTACTTGGTTCAAGGCTGTTATTGTAATGACCAACTTCTAATATCTGTCACGCCACAGAAAGATGTTTAATTGCAGCAGTTGCAATAAAAATAACCGTGACAAATCGCTTCTATCCCTTTCTCCTTTTTTGACTTGTCTTCCCAAACCACTCAATCATAGGGAGTGAAATGTTGCATAATTGATACAACCAATGATCTCCTTAAGAAACTTTTCTGACGTGAAATATGACATGGTTGCCATGGCAGCCATATTGAAAATCAAATCTTTGAACATTTGAAGATGTTCACCCTTGTGTCATAGAGTTCTCTTACGTATAATTATTTTCAAAAATGACTTTATATAATATTATGAAGTATTATCGAAAGTTATATATAGTTTTCATAACTGTACCATATTAGCTAATTAAAACAGTGCAGTCGTAAAAGCAACAAAACCATTTCTATAATAAAGTAAGAACTCTCTACTGAGTGAGTTAGTGTGTGACTATGGTTTTGTGCTGCTTTTATCAATAATAGAGCAATATCATGGCGGGTAACACCAGAAATGGGCTTCACACATTGTACCTATGTGAGAATTGAATCCGTTGGTATGGCTAGCTAATACTTTAGCCAATAGGCTACCCTACCTCTCCAAGTCTCTGATGCAAACAGGCATTATTTTATGATTATAATATAGGATAAGCATGTGAGTTTCTATGCAATATTGATGATACTATGTATTCATGAAAATACTAGGCTATTCCATCACAAACACATGCAAAGTCAAGTCAATTGTTCACTAAAAAAATGAAAGGAGGAAGCACACATCACTCCTGAACCAATGCGTCAAACCATGTCCCCCACATGTCAAACTTAAAACCTTCACAAAGACCTTGAATGTAGTCAGTCAAACAACTTTTGAGCATGAGTTTTATGAAAATCTTGCAAATCATTGTAGAAAGAGCTCAAATCACCTCAATAATTGTGAAATGCAGAAACCAAAGATTTGAGCTGCTGGCATATTGCAAAACAGACAAGAAAGTTGACTCTCTGGAAGTTGAAGTCATTCCTCTTGTCATACCATCTTGTAAATAGATTTTGTCACTCTAAATCTTTATGTGGAGATTTGATGTCAGAGTTGTAAACAAAGCTGCTATATGCTCAGTACTGCTAGCTATCACTTTTCCACTTTGAGCTAACTAATCCTGATTTATTTGTCTGTACCCGCATGTCTACATAACAGTAATTAAGTGTCACGTATCATCTGTGAATTGTAAATTTTATGTGTTCATGTTAAAGTGTGTTAATATTTATTTTCACCAATGGCATTTGAAATCTGTATTTAGTTGAACTTAAGGACTGTTTAGTAGATCACTATGGTTTAAATATAAATTGTATATCTATGGAGAGATAGATAGAAAAAGAGTAGGCTGCAAACACGAGAAATTACGGCCTCATCTACTGCTGCAGTCACCAGCATCTTGAACTTCTGCAACTATCAGTGTGTGTGTGTGTGTGTGTGTGTGTGCCTGCGTGTGTGTGTGTGTGTGCATGCATGTGTGTGTCTTTCAACATCATCATCTTCTTCATCAGTCATTGCCTTTTTAAAAGAGGATCACATGTAAAAATATGGATATTTTTAACTTTATGTCTAAAATCACATATGGTCAAGAATGTTTTCACATATTTTTTGGGACAATGTTTAACCTTTTAGACTTTTGGTATGGAATGAATCTGGAAATATGTCCAATATCTTTTGTGCATGTTTACTATTTGACACCATTATTCTCAAACATTGTACTTTCAAACATTGTCTTTCCTTTCAGATATAATTATGTCTCATAACATTAAAAAGACTGTCTGAACATATATCAATCATTCACCTAAAAAATCTATACATTTTGAAAAGTTAATGCTGTAAAGTGAAATGCTAGACGTCTGACATGTTTGCGGCCATCAGTGATCATTGGTTGATCCAGGATTTGGGGAAACTGTACATCCCAAATATACAACCCATTCCCGTGTCAAGAGTGATTGGAATGGTTTCCTTGAGTGGTTCCTGAAATATAGGGATGATGTGATGGGATTGATCGTTAAGTTGGAGGAATTATAGAATTTCAGATGCGGAATGGTTGTGGAAAGTTTATACTGTCAGTACCCCATCTTGATCTGTCAGAATGAATATAGAATACTTCGTGACATTTTTATGTCTGAGTGTGGTTTTGTGATTTACTATATCATGTCTTCCTCGTGGAGAGTATGAGTTGTTTGTTTCTTGTTTAACGCCAGCACTCAGCAATATTCCAGCTATATGGCGGTCTGTAAATAATCGAGTCTGGACTAGACAATCCAGTGACCAACAGCATTAGCATCGATCTACGCAATGCGATGACATGTGTCAACCAAGTCAGTCAACTTGACCACCCTGTTCAGTTAGTCGCCTCTTGACTGCCTCCGTGGTCCACCCGGAGAGCAGAAGGTCGCGGGTTCGATCCCTGACCGCGTCATACCATAAGACGTTAAAATATGGTACTTGTTGGTCCCTGCCTGGTGCTCGGCATTAATGGGTACAAAAAGGACTGGTCGGCTCGGAGTCAGTATAATGTGTCTGAGTGGGGTATTCATGCTTCACTGCGGCATGGTATCTCAGTGAGCTAGCACTATAAAACCAGCTTCAGTCTGGGCTAGTACAAGCAGCCGCACATACACATACACACGCATGCAAGTCGTCATATGAGCGAAATATTCTCAAGCAAGACGTTAAACCCAATTTCACCTCACCTAGTCGCCTCTTACGACAAGCATGGGCTGCTAAAGACCAATTCTAACCCAGATCTTTATTGATATATTGAGAGTATGAGTTGTCATGGGTTAGAGTTAAGCACAATTCCGTTAACATTTCTGTCTTGATTACTGCAGAATTTCTGCTGGTATTCAGAAGAGTTTCACATCTTACACATTTTTAGATAACCTATGTGTGTATATGGCTTGTTAGTTTGTGTGATTGTGTGTGTATGCGAGTGTATGTGCGAAGCATGTATTTAAGGAAGTGGGGAAGGAGGGTGTAGTGGGGCATGAACGTGGAGTTCAGTCATATATTCAATACATTTTTATCCCAAACTAATACATGTGTATAATATTTTACTCAGATTTGATTCCCTTGCTTGTGACAAATGATTGGCATCTATATAGGTCATGATAATGAGGATGATGATTTCGAGATGTAACGTGCGCTTTCCGACACAATGCATATTTCGAACATGGCAGATATAAAGGTCAGTCAACTTGAACCTTAAGTAAACTTTCACTGACCAATCGATATCAAGGATACACAGGTTCTTGAACCAATCAGATACCAGGTTTCTAAATGACTTGCCTTCATTTTTTTACAGTCTCACTTTGGAAATTTTAATCATGTCTGAAGAGACACAAATTTCGAAAGTGTAAATTAAATAATTTCACTTTTCCACACCATGTAACCAAATGTTAAACTACTGATATTTTCCAGCATTTATCTGGTAGACCAGTGTATAGTCCTAGGCCAAATGCTGGAAAAGTCCCTATCTTTTAGGATCTCTCATCAGCAGTAAAAGCGTTATCCAGTAATTGGTATGACAACTCCCACCCTCCAGAGATTCTTGTCAATGTGGAACTAGACACAGAATGTATCAGGTTGCTGAAAACAAACAAGGATTACCAGGCTGTTGAAACAGTGTCCACATGTTCATAGACCAACTGCATGAGTATTAACCGCATGGTTTAATGGACGGTGACAAGCACTGGTGTTCAACATGATCAGGATATGCAGTATGGGTGATAAGGCCTGGTGTATCATATTACCTGATAATGATGTTATCTCTACATTTGGCCTAGGAGTATGTACTGGAGCCAATTTTCATCACACTGTTCTCCAAGGTTTAAGGAGAATACTGCTTGAAGCAGCCCTATAATCTCCAGCCTTCCACCCAGTTTACCGGTGACTGGTGTTGGTATGTTGAATAAACTATGCTAAATTACCCTGGATTACCTGTCACCTGTAAAGACATTATTTAAGGTGAGATGAGGTGAAATGGGGTTTGCGTCATGATGAAGATGATTACACCTGTATGACATATTGTGCCTGTCTGTGTCTGTGTGTCTGTGCCTGTCTGATTGTACTATCTGACAAATGTATGTTCATAGTGCCAACCCACTATGGGTTGGCACACCATGCTGCAATTCAACATGGATGCCTCACACAGACACAGTATACTGACTACAAACCCTTGTTTGATCAGACCATGAAGATCAGGGTTAAAATTGGTCTTCAGCAACCCACTCTTGTCATAAGAGGAGACTATTGGGATCGGTGGTCAGACTCACCGACTTGGTTGACATGCCATCGTATCCCAGTTTCATAGATCGATGCTCATGATGTTGATCACAGGATTGTCTTGTCCAGACTTGATTATTTACAGAATGACACCATATAGCTAGAATAATGCCAAATGCAGCCTTAAATAACAAATAAACAAACAACCAAACCTTGCTTGATTCCTTTAATGCCAAGCACCAAACAGGTGTTTGGTTTTATGCCTCTTTTAGCAATATTCCAGCAATATCACAGAGGGGACACCAGAAATGGGCTTCACACATTCTACCAATGTGGGGAATTGAACCCGGGTCTTCAGCTTTAACCACTAGACTACCCAACCGCCCCCTTTTGGTACGATGCAACCTAGGCTCAAACTACCAACCTTCCACTCACAAGGCTAACACTCTATCCACGCTCTGCCAACACTACATCACAGAGACCATTCGCAATATTTAAGATTGAAGAATTTAATAAATCATTTGCTGACAGGGATAATCCTACCACAGTTATCCAAAATTCAAAAGAAAGTATATATTTGTTTATCAAATTATGAGAAATGATATTTATCTGAGACTTTATGAAAATAATGGTTTCCTTAAAACTCAGTGCATACTCATGAAAATAGCATTAATTTGAACCTCTCTAGAAGTGTATTTTTGTCTCCAGTTTGAATCATGGATCCCAGTGTTTGCATGAGTTGTTGATATTCTGAATAATGGAACTGAAATCAATAAAGATCATGAAAAAGAAAAAAACACTTTTTTAGACTTGGACCTGACATATAAAAGCTTTACTGCCAGTCATATTTTTCTATAAATTAGTCCAAGTTTCAGCTGGAAATCCAGAAATCCAATATTTTATTAATTTCTGTCACTCAGTACACAGCTTTTATCCATTTCTTGCAAAAACGTCTTCCTGAAGAGGGATTGCGACAATAACACCCGCCAGCAAATTGCATGAGTTTCATTGCTAAGGAAAACGACAACATGAAAGCGATTTAAACTGTTTCAATCCCTGCATCCCCTCACTTATCCTCGAACATGACAGAAATTAAAACAAATGATAAAAAGCCATTTTCTCGGCTTATTTAATTGTGGTGTGGTGCAAACTAATTGAATGCCCCAGTTGTGGCTACGTGTGGTCTGAGTGTAAGTGCTGAGCCAATCTCGTCCCCACTTCACGAGACTTCATCATGTCTTTCTCTGTTAAAGTCTACGTGGATTTGTCCTGTGGAATTCAAAGCCGCAATCAGTTTTGAGTGCCCCCTTCAGATACAGGAGTGTGATGGCTTTTCTCATATCAGCTCAACCCACAGACGTTTGTATTACGCTCCATTAAGAAATCAACACTTGCGCAATTGCTTACCAAGTGGTGTTAGTTATCTACCGAGTGTAAAATTGGATAAACCACGAGAGCTCGTCAAACTAGACGCATTTGTCAACACATAACACATATTGTCATTCATTTGTTAATAATTGATAACGGAAAAGGCACCTTGACATTTGCAAAGAAAGCCCCTGGATTCTTTCTCGGGACACAAGAGCGAAGACTGTTATCCAGATGTGGTTAATTTGCCATGCAGCTGATAGTCAATTTGTCATGCATGACCAGCGACAGATCTAACAGTGTTGGACACACCTGAACGACTCTCACCTGGTCTCCTCTTTGTCACCTGTTGTGCAAACAGCTTCTGGAAACTAAGCCAGTGGATTAATTATATATGACCTGATCAGCTTGTAACCACAATGGACAATGGATGCAGATTGTTCTGTAGCTCTACCATTGATGTTACTGCTCTGCATCTCATCTGTGATGGAATTCGCACGGTGCAGTTTTTATAGTGCCTGTCATTGCTTAACAATGGATGATGATTATAAAAAAATAAAATATGTCCATTGCATCTGGCCCAATTACTGTGCAGGTCCTCCATTTCATGACCCTACAAACATAGTTTATTTATGACAATATGGACAATCTTTAGTGAATAACCAACAGATGATCAGGGATTACAGATCCCAATGGAATAAATAATATTAATCCCAAAGCCTTTGCCTATAGACTAAAAGGATTTATTCATTATTAGTAAACACTAATCCTGAGGTTTGAGCAATTTATTCCATATATGGAATTTTAAGAGAAAATGGAGGAAAAATTAACAAATTTCAACCATCTGTAGGACTTCACTACAGCAGCCTATTGTTCAGAAAACTTGTAATCAATTTGTTAGGTCCATATAGGATGATCACATCAAATTTTCTCATCAGTGAAACACTGTGATGTTATATGGATTCTATTGACCAATCAACAATGGCAATTGCTAAAATGCACAAATGGAAGGTTATTTCTTACAATTATTTCATCCTTATGGGTAATTTACACATTTGAATCAAACATTATATTTTCTTGTACCGAAACCCTCAGGTAGTAATTATAAAACTACTAATTAACTGTTTGAAAAAGCTGGAGAACCTTTGAACTGATTTGATAGGAGATTGTTCAATACTTTTCAACTTGTACCCTCAAGAAATGTAGATCACCTTGAATTTGACAGATATGTCCTTTCAATTTCCAAAAACTAATACCAATTTCTTCCTCGACTGTTCAAATGATAGATTGAGTTACCTTCGGAAATGAAAGATAATATTTATTTTTCCAGTGAGTTTGACATTTCAAAAAATTTCAAACACAGTTGTTATTCTCTGTGCAGAGGTAAGTTTGTCATTAGTAATTTTAGTTGAACATTGAAACCTTGATCTCTTGGAAGAAAAACATTTCAGTAATGTGTGATTGGTTCTCAAATAGAAGATGACTGGAAAGCTTGCATGTCACTGAGGTGTTGGCTTACTGTTTCCAATGGCAACCATCGACAGTTTGATACACGACACATGAATGTTTGCAGGAGGATCCATAATATCTAAAACTTATGATGTACTGGATTTTACTATTAGTGAAATGTCATACAAGTTTTAGAAAAATGGAATCCTATGATTTAGGTTTTTAAAGAAACAATCATAGGTCACTTTAAACTGTTGTAGTTTTCAGGGGGCAGTGGGGTAGACTGGTGGTTATAGCGTCCGCTCATCACGCCGATGACCAGGGTTCGAATCCCCACATGGGCACAATGCATGGAGCCCCTTTCTGGTGTACCCCGCCATGATATTGCTGGACTATAGCTAAAAGCGGCATAAAACCATACTCACTCACTCACTCTAGTTTTTCAGAAGGGCAGTTGGGTAGCCCAGTGGTTAAAGCATTCGCTTGTCATGCTGAGGGCCCAGGTTCAATTCCCCACATGGGTACAATGTATATTGCCCACCATGATATTGCTGGAATATTGCTGAAAGGGGTGTAAAACCCAACTTACTCACTCACTCACTAGTTTTTCAGATAAGTGGGGAAAAAAATTCTGTATGTAATTATTTGTTTGCTATTTTTCCTAACATTTTGCATGCAAGTGTCATTCAAGAGTTTACAGATAAACTGTCTGAATTTCAATATGATTTTTAGACCATTTTGTGGTCATTTGACATTAAATGTATGCACAAATTCCTGATGGAAGATTAAAACTTGTATCAGTCAGAAATTCTGGTGTTACACATGTGGCATTAATGGAATATTACTAAAGGGGCATAAAACTAAAGTCACTCACTAAGTATTCTGTTGGACATACTAACTGATGGATCAAGAGTGTGGGCAGAGGGTTCCCCTAGACTAATGATTAGACTGTATGTATAAACATGTATATAATTTCGATAGAAACAAACAATTCCTTTCAAATTGAAAAGGAGCTCCAGTGAGATGTGGAGATCCTGAGCCTGAGGATATCTAGGCTTGCTTCATTTAGGGCTTTAACATTGCAGGGGGGAGTTAGGCCGAAGGAAAAATAATGCAGTTTAGGGACGGTGAGGCAGACTAAGTCTCCTCTAACATCACCATCCCCCACTAACTCACACCACTCAGTTTCTGCTAAGTGAAAGCCCTGATAACTCAACTAAATATATTTACTATATATTGTTCCCCCCATGTCTTGAGACCATATTATGTTGAAAGCACCTCTTTTTTAATGCCAGACTTTAGATTTTCAACCAACACAATAACCTAATGGCAATGAAGAATCGCAAACCAATTAAATATTGTTCTCAAAATGTTCTAAATACCAGGAGGCACACAGCCAAACACAAAACACAAATTTTTTTTAACTGAAGTTTTTGGGGTTTTAAAATTATTTTACCAAATATTATCATTCTTTCTACATAATCCTGTTTGTGGATATAAAAAGGGAACAAATTGTTTATCTAATCAACACTTTTTTTTATCTCACATGTATTTTATTTAAGGTTTTACAAATCAAACCTAACATATTGTGCAATTTTGATTATCAATTTTTGTTTAAATCCTGTCGATCAGGTTGTTGTGACCAGTTTTCTCAACCAAACAAGCGAAAGAAAATATTGTTGGGTTGATTTATAGATAATTCCTTCAAAATATCACTTGAAAAAAGTGTCCACAATGAAAAATGAAATTTTACCCCCAAAATCAATAAACACACTTTTACTTTCATAATTATTTACGATTGTAAAACTGAGGCCTCTGATTTTACAAAATAATTTGCACTATTACATTAGAATATTCATAAGCTATTCCTGCATAAATTTGTATTAATACATGCCCTAAGGATTAACAATTTACATTACCAGCTTGTTTGCTTGCATCTAAATGTGTGATTTTTCTTGATGTACGTCCTTAAAGTAGGACCAAGGTAGGTCAGAACGACATTAGTCTCGCACAATATCAACATGAGTTTGTAAAGACCATGCAAGAAACAGAAGACAATAGCTTCAGCTCGAGCTGTCGGGACCTGGATGGGACAGATAGTACCCGAGCTGTGTGACAGCCTCGACCTCATGAATATTTAAGTATGTCATCCCTGTACTCGGGTGGGTCGCTGAGGCTTGCAACCAGGCACCAACCTCAACTGCTGAATTTTTTATGTGTGATTTCTGAAAGCATATTCTTCTCAATTTTCTTCATTTGATATACAGCATTCGACAGCAAACTACAAATAGAAATAAAGTACTGCAATTTTAATGAAGTTGCTAGCTCACAGTAACAGATTGCAGTTGAGATTTCAGGGTATATATAAGGATAAGAGCTATGGACGAAAAGGCATCATATCTTCTCGGCTGTCAAACTTATGAGAAAATTGGTGAACACTATTTGGGAGGATTTGGGTAGTTGTTGACACCCTGTATTCTTTTTATTTGGATTATTCGGACATGAGGATTTAAAAATCTTGACCTTTATGATGGGTAAGCATTGATTTAGTCAGTGTTTAGTTTGTGTTTAATTTTGTCTATTTGAATTAATGTTGGTTTCTTTTTAAAAATGAAATGTATATTCTTTGGTGTTTTTTAAATTCAATACATTACTACTGTCTTGCTTCCTTGTTGTAATGTCTTTCTGATTAGGTGAATCCCAGCTTAAATTTCAAATAAATAAACAATTTGAAAAGTTAATTAATAATTGAATTGTTCAATATCTTGTGTTTTATGAACAGTTTTAAGGGGAATATGGTTGATATGTCTTAAAAATACCAGCAGTAAATGCTTTATTAAATAAAAATATTATAGTTTAACTTTCTGGATTGATTTTTTATATAAAAATTAATACTTTTGATTCAAATTAAAACAAATATTTGCAGGTATTGTAATTTGAAGCGATTGTTATTGTTTGTGGTTCATACAAACAGATCTTGTCAACAATGCTGCTTTTTTCGTTCAACATGTCTTAGATCTCTTTTATTCAAATATCCCGTTGGAGTTAACATCTTCAAAACAAGAGATAAAAAAGAAGGAGAGAGGTAAATTGCATGTAATCCTTGAGATGAGTTTGTTTAGGTTGTGTTTGTGGGTTATCGACTTAACAGGTGATGTTGGTCGTCGACTGTAGCCATCCTTTGCTTGTTTGTTATTGATGACTTAACATGGCTGTTTGTTTGTTTCACAGGTATTGTTTTTGTGATGAGGCTCCCAAATCACATATTTGCACCCACTTTCCAAACACATATGATCCTTTTCAAATTTAATCGCCACACGTTGTTCTCTGTCGCCAGATGAGCAATCGCCGAAACCCCAGTTTCCGCCTTGCGGTAGAAAGTCGTGAGAAGGATGGGTGGACTAGTGGCCGTTGCCTACAAGTTCAGCCGCCGCCCACCACCTGTTACGACAAGATGGTGCACAAAGTAGCCAGAGAGTTCCTCACAGATGAGCTTGACCGCCAGTATTACGCTGACCGCTACAAATGCTGTCCTCCACCTCTTCTTATACCTGCAATCACACTCATAGAGGTAAGTCAGGTTGTCTATAATAGGATGGCAATGCTGAGCTGTATGATGTCAATAACAAATGATAGAGAAACATGTATTTTTCATTCCATAAACTTATGATTGATTTACACAGATAGTAAACAAAATAGAGGTATTGAAATAAACAAAAAACTTTGAAATTTGTTTTATTTAAATAATTCACTCTATGATGTCAAAGACCAGTGAAAAGAATGTTTTATAAAGTACAATTAATTGTTATAGCTCTGTTGTTTGAACCTTTGAAATATTTACTTCAAGAATAAACAAAATTAATCTTCTGAAATAATTCCACAAAAAATGAAATCACTTGATCACAATGATTAATAATGTTATGTCATTAACAAATGAAAACATTATTCTTGTTAAGTAATCTAATTCTGGTTCTGTGAATAATGAATGATTCATATTGAGAGTAAACCAGTTCAAACCTATGAACAATTAAAAATAATGCTATTAGTTATTTGATCTAAATTGTTATAACTGTACATTGTACATACAATGATTATACTAGTATTGAAAGAAATATGTTTCTTGTTTGAATGAATGAATGAATGTTTCACATAAAAAATAAACAAAATTGATTGTGTGAAAAAATTAAAAACACTGGAAACCGTTTGATCTAAATAATAAGAAAAATATTATCAAAGAAAACTAAAGAGATGAAGCCAAGGAGGAATCATCAATTAATTTCTAGTCAAAACTTGCCTCCCTTATCCTGTGAGAACAAAGCTATTCAGATCAGTATGTTTTTTATGTTTCTTGAAAGCACAGAGATGAAAGACAAGATAATCAATTCCCTCAGGCTGTGTTGAGTTGTGTAGTTGATCCTTTCTGAAATGTCAATCACCAGTCAATCACTTGTCAATCAGCCATCAAACACCTCAAAGCATCAATTTCATATGGAAGTGTATGAGATCATATTTCATTGTTTGTATTAAACTATTAATTCAGACTGAATATGCTAAATGAATGAGCAGTTTCTTACACCACTTTAAGCAATTTTCTAGCAATATCATGTTTGGGAGAAGGGGGACCAGATTTAACTCATAAAACCCATTGGAGAAATCAAACCCAGGTCTTCGTTTGGTTGGGCCAGCGCTTTCAATGCCAGGTCACCAACAACTCTTGAGATATGAATAATATGATCATAAGATAAAATAATGAATTATCTTTCATGTATTCTATGTAACTGTAGTGAGCGAAAATCCTGTGTGCGTTATCAAGTCTCTCATTGCATGGGGTGGTTAAAGTGTTTTCTCGTCACGCCGAAGACCCGGATTCGATTCCTCACATGGGTACAATGTGTGAAGCCCATTTCTGGTGTCCCTGTCGTGATATTGCTGGAATGTTGCTAAAAGTGGCGTAAAACTAGATTCACTCACTCTCGCTCGTCACGATATGGCTGAAATATTGCCGATGTGACGTTAAATATTAACTCACTCACTCACTCTCACTACATAAATCATCTCTATATTGCAATGCATTTACATTCAGCTCTTTTAAGGTTTTGGATTGTTCCTTTATGTGTTGCATCAGCATAATAGCTTCTGTCTACACTACAAAGACATACTGTTCAGGTACAACTAATAATAAGCTGAGAACTAATGATATTGTAGAATTATATTGTCATATGGTAATGTCAGTGAGGTACACAAAGAACATGATTTAGACAACAGTTGTACCTCCATTTTGGGGTGGGGTAGCCTTGTGGTTAAAGTGTTCGCCTGTCACACCGAAGACCCGAGTTCGATTCCCCACATGGGTACAATGTGTGAAGCCCATTTCTGGTTTTCCGTGCCATGATGTTGCTGGAATATTGCTAAAAGTGGCGTAAAACTAAACTCACTCACTTACTCTCACTACATGAATCATCTATATGTGTTTCACATATTGCAATGCATTTACATCCAGCTCTTATAAGGGACCCGTGAAGGTCCGGGTTAGAATATTGGCCTTCAGTAACCCATGCTTGTCGTAAGAGGCGACTAACGGGATCGGGTGGTCAGGCTTGCTGACTTGGTTGACACATGTCATCGGTTCCCAATTGTGCAGATCGATGCCCATGCTCTTGATCACTGGATTGTCTGGACCAGACTCGATTATTTACAGACTGCCGCCATACAGCTGGAATATAGCTGAGTGCGGCGTGAAAGCAAACTCACTCACTCATGTTGCATCAGCATAATAACTCCTGTATACAATACAAAGAGATACTGTTCAGGTACAACTAGAAGTAAACCGGGAACTACCGATATTGTAGTATTATTTTGTCATATGATATTGTCTTATTATAATGTCAGTGGGTTACACAAAGAACAAAGTTGTTGGACTTCCCTTTTTGTGGAAACCATGGTGACTGTTTGATCACTGTGTACTGCTTGTTTGCCTCACTTTGAAAGTGTCAGTTCAAGTCCCGGAGGGGCTCCATACCAAGAAAGTACATTACATTGTAATTACTTATTTTCTGGATTATTTCTTTTTAAATCTTAAAATTGGTTATCAAAGTACATTTTGTCATCATTCAATAAAGTAAGTTTACATATTATTGTCATCTGAGTAAATTGAAAGATATAGTGCACACATTTTCATGTTTCAGATTAATTTCAAAAGTACTAAAAACATTATTTATCAGATGAAAAAAGATAATTAAGTTGCCCTTAGTATAATTCCAAACATCCTGTATCTACACTCATAGATATAGATATATATACAATGTAGATTAAGGCCTCACAGTTTGCCAGTAAACCATTGCTTTAATAATATCCTAAACCTTTAAAGTTTTTTATAAATGATGAGAATTATAGCATATGCCTTTAAACTACATGCATGTTCAAATATTTATATATTTTGACAGCAACCCTATAATTTAAGACCTTTATCTGTAAAGTAGGCAATTAGGAAAAGAAACCTTACAATATTAATTATTTTTAAGTGATACTAGTTGTACCTGAACTCTATCTCTGGTCAACAGACCCATTATAATGGTTCTCTCTGACAAGGAGAACAGCTATGTATCTTATCATTGAGAGATACTAGTTATATGGCCAAGATATGCTTGAATATATCTATACTTATACTGGATTAACCGTAGCAATTTAGCTCAGAACAGTTATTTCATGAGTTAATCGTATTTGTGGTGCCATGTGGTCCCGTACACAACCTACAGGTCACGAATCAAGTGAAGTTAAGCATCGTTGTCTCTGAGAGTAGTTGGATTGGTGACCATATTTGGCAGCGGGACTCTTGAGAGTTTCTAGGGCATTGGTCTCTACCCACTGTGAAGCTCTTGTAGGACATTTGGTGTCTCTTTAGGAAAGTGACTTTTTTTAAATGTGCCTCGGTTCACGGAGAAGTAAATAGGTGTATGGTAGGAGGATATGGTAATTAGGCAGTTAACCTTTTGTACCTCACACACAGCATAGGTTGTATTCTCCCCAGGGAGTTGAGAATGTAAATAGAACGCTCGCTGATCCATTAGCCAGGGTAATAAGGTAGCACTTTGTGAATGCTACTGGGCTTAGATTTGGCACATAAAAAATATCATCAGCATCAGCAGCACCATCATCACTATCTTCATCATTGTCGTCATCATTGTCGTCATCATTGCAATCAAGTTTATGGATATAAACATGGCTTTTTTCTAGACCTGTCTCTAGAAATAGCCCTGAAATTAAGAAAATAAATCCTGAATATGTAGGTTTTCCCATTTTTCTTTTAAAGGGTTGTTTGTTTGTAATGAGTTATGTACACACTGGCGCTTTTGCCTTTTGTATTGACCCGTGAAGATCGGGGTTAGAATTGGTCTTCAGTAACCCATGCTTGTTGTAAGAGGTGACTAATGGGTTTGGGTGGTCAGGCTTGCTGACTTGGTTGACACATGTCATTGTATCCCAGTTGCATAGATTGATACTCATGATGTTGATCACTGGATTGTCTGGTCCAGACTCGATTATTTACAGACCGCCGCCATATAGCTGGAATATTGCTGAGTACAGCGTAAAACAACAAACCAAGACAAACCTTCTGTTTCGTATGTATTTTACTATCCCAGAGTCAACGTTTGAAAGGTATAGCTCCCAGTGAGAACTGCTGAGAGGTGTTTCATTTGACATGTAAGACCTGCTTGAGATTGTAATACCAAGGTTTTACATTTAAACTGTTTCAACAGCATATAAAATTATTTCATGATAAAAATTGAACCTGCAACAGATGTTTAGCCACTGTAGCAAGTGATGATGGTGTTCAACCTCACTTGACATGATGTCAGTTGTCTGCTCTTTCTCACACACTTTCTTATAACCTCTGTCATATCTTGCATTTAAATGATTCATAAGTTAAATGAAACATTCTTCATTTGTACTGGTTTAAAGTATAAAATCTGTGTTTCATAAAGTCGTGTTTCAGCTCTGACATAATCTAGAGTTAAGGACTGACTGTATGAATTGCATGATAAACCACAATCAGTAAACCGCAAAACAGTTTGGGAACTGGTGATTGATAGCATAAGCACTGATCCGTACCACTGAGTTGTAATGACACGATACTTCAGCCTGCATAGTCTGAGAGATGGGCTTCCCTCGTGGCACCGCATCAGTGAACTCATCCTTTGATCCCCATCCCCGTCTTTTAAATGCAGTGATGGGATTCATCTGCCGAATCCCATGGGTGTGCTATGGATGTGTCTGAGTTGACTGAGTGTCTGTGTTTCAGATTGGTTGTTTCATCTACTACTGTCTCGAGTCCGGCAGTATCGAGCCCAATGGCCCAGTGCCCGTCAACTCCGTGTTTATATACCGTCCAGACCGCAGACTCGAGCTGTGGCGCTTCCTCTTTTACACACTGCTGCATGCTGGGTAAGATTTTCTGACAGAAGTGTTGATGTGTATGATTATCATGGGTATTTATATACATGAAGTATTGTCAAGAAAATAATAAAATAATGCCCCTATGAAGATCCACATCAGAATTCAGAAACCCATGTTTATCATAAGACTGACTGACTTAGTTTGGTTTTTACACCGCTTTTGGCAATATTCCAGCAACATCACGGCTGGGGACACCAGAAATGGGCTTCACACATTGTGCCCATGTGGGGATTCGAACCCGGGTCTTCGACGTGACGAGCCAACGCTTTAACCATTAGGCTACCCCACCGCCCCTTTATCATAAGAGATATCTAGTGGCAGTCGGACTTGTTTACATGCCTGATCCATGTCATTGCATGTCATGCATGCATAATCAGCACTCATAATCACTGCATTACCTGGTCCCCAGTTCCATGTTGCCATCAAATAACAGGCAGGGGCGGATACAGCTTTTGAGACAGGGGGGGTGCACACTATTGAGAAAAGGAGGGGTGCACACTTCATTTTCACCCGAATTTCAATGGTCATTTCAGCACCCCACCTCTGGATCCGCCTATGACAGGAGTGAGTTAGTTTAGTTTTATGCCGCTTTTAGCAATATTCCAGCAATATCACCAGAAGACACCAGAAATGGGCTTCACACATTGTACCCATGTGGGAATCGATCCTGGGTCTTTGGAGTGATGAGCGAATGCTTTAACCATGGCTACCCCACCGCAACAATGTAACGAGAGATTACAGAGTCCAGCGATAAACAATAAACAAATGTTATACAAGTATCACTGTTAGACTTTCCAAATAAACAATAAGGTAAAAAATTCTAAATAGATTATTCTTGTTGTAGTAAAGATGCTTTAATGAGGCAATTATCATAGACGAGCAAACACATCAATATGGCTGCACAATGATCTTGTCTCAGACCTGCATCTGGAAACAGATACTATTTTCTCATTTACTATTCTTCAGTCTGATAACTGTATCAAACCTCAGATAACCGTATCTAATTGCGGTAAGAAAAACCAGGGTTTGAGCAAAGAAGCACAGAGATAATGTGTGCCTTTATTGATTTACAAGCACTGATGTTTCTTCTGATTGAGAACGTGAACCGCCATTAATCACGTGTTAATAATATATATGTCTATTGAGCTGTCGTCAACCGCTTGACACAGTCGCCATGTTTCCTTCGACTCTACCACAGATACTATTTGCTTTCAATATTCAGACTAATTTGTAGGATTTGAGGTCATTAAAGGATTTATGGTGGCAGTTTTATTGTTTTCTGAGTGAATACGATCATTAAGTTTGATATGCAAAGCGGAATATAGAATCATGGTGTTTTTACTGTGGTATCTGACACTGAAGATTGACTTTCATTTCCAAAAATTATGGAAGTTGTTCAACATACTTGTATAACTGTGACAGAACAGTCGTAAATAATACTGTGATTTCTTGATATATCGGAGGCCGTGGCACTGATAGATTCAATTTAGCTGGATTGACCGTAATTTTACCATCAGTGCCAGAGATACAGACACTGCTATCTCTGGAAGTCATGCGTTGCCTTTAAGTTACATGTACATCACTGTTCACAGGCTGCAACTCAAGGGAAAAGTAGCATGTTTCTAATTATACTTCATAGTCTATCTTTTGAACCAGTTTAGAATTAGGATATGGTCATCCTAAGAATGTATTTGGTTTTGTATCAAGCATTATTGAAATTTAACTACTTAATGCTGTACTTCAAGCAGAGGATCATAATTTCATATTTAGGGAGGCTTAGGTGAAGAATCTAGCTTGGTATGTTTTATCGTCAACGTCTTTTTTATTATTGTTACCACAGGCAGTGTTACCATATCATTTTTTGCAGCTCAGATATATGTCATTAATGTATAATGTTACCTCATAAAGTGTTACCAGGTTACCACATGTAATGTTACCATGTGGAATGATAGTGCATATACAATGTTTACAGGTTACCATGTCATATTTTGCAGCACACATACAAGTGTTACCATGTTTAATTTGTCCATTATACTTTACTATCCTGGACAAAAATAGTTACGGATATACGTAAATTTTGAAATTATGAATAATGATCTATTTATTTATTGACACACTGATAAAATATCAGTCATAAAAATGTCAAATTCCCTATATATGTCCAGTATATAATATTACCCTATACAGTGTTATTATGCGCCACATTAAATGTTACCAATTTGGTAATGCATACCATCTACTAGTATACAATGTCAACTGGTTACCACACCTAATAGGACCACGATCAACTTGTCACATAAAAATGGCTGTTGAGTTACCATATGCAGTGTTAATGTGTTATCATTAATAAAAATCATTGCAATAAATGTGCATGTGTAATGTTATCATATTGCACATATCGTGTTATCATGTGACGTCATGCCATATTATTATATTGCCTTTATCAAAAAAATTAAAAAATATGTGCTGTCAAAACTCCTTTGTATTGAGGGAATATCTAGGCTCTTTTCATTTTATATAACCAATGAAGATCCAGGTTAGAATTGATCTTCAGTAACCCATGCTTGTCATAAGAGGTGACTAACAGGATCGGGTGGTCAGGCTCTGTTACTGACCACATGTCAACGTATCCGAATGGATTAGATCGATGTTGCTCACTGGATTGTCTGGCCCAGACTCGATTATTAACAGACCGCCGCTATATAGCTGGAATATTGCGGAGTCCAGCATTCAACAACAAACCAACCATCCAACTATTCATTCATGTATTTTCCTTAGCTCCACACTGCAACATCACCTTCCTAATACTGTTCGTAGATTGATGCTCATGCCGATGATCACTGGATTGTCTGGTCCAGACTTGATTATTTACAGACAGTCGTCATACAGCTGGAATATCGCTGAGTGCGGCATTTAATGACAAATCATCCAACTATTCACTCATGCATTTACTAAGCTCCTCACAGCAACCTCACCTTCCTTATCAGGTTTAATCAAAGTGTTCAACACTGTGATGGAGTTTCCTTATTTAAATTGTTTGACTGATTTATGGCATTAGGAGAAGCTTTTTTAGCAATCTATTTACCGGTAATGAATTTATTTTTGTGTGTACAGACCACCACCATATAGCTGGAATATTGCTGAACTCACCACTACCACTATTCATTTTATATACATGTATTCGTATTTATAATGTTAACATCAGTGCATCTCTGCCTACCAGGTACATCCATCTGTTCTTCAACATGGCAGTACAGATCTGTGTTGGGATACCGCTGGAGATGGTGCACGGGTCATGTCGGATACTGATTGTCTACCTGGCAGGTGTACTAGCAGGTCAGTCATCAGATGATTGCATCAGTAGCTAAACATTCTATACAGTATTTATTGTACATAGAGAGGCAGTGGGGTAGCCTTGTGATTCAAGCGTTTGCTCATCTAATGTTAATGACTGGCCCCTAAATAATAATCATTTCCAAATGACATTGTGTTTTGAAAGTAGAACTATAATTAAAGTCATAAAAGTTTGGTGCCCATTCTCTTCAGTTTTAATATTTTTTATGACGTACCACCTACATATGCTTACAAATGTGTCTTTAGGTCATTGGTCACTATGCATCATAATTAGCAAGGTTTTCTATCTCTATCATTGTATTTCTGTAAGGTTTCTAAAGTTAGTTCAGTAAGTTAAACTGTACTTTTAGCTTCATCTATTTTGAGAATGACATTATGTGATTTCTGAGATTTTTGCCCTTTCGTTATATTAATCTCAAATTATAAATGAAATCTATTTTTCTTTTCACATGTGTTCTCAGAAATCAAGTTTTATGTATCATGAAATTAAGAAAATGTTAACCCAGTTTACTTGTCCAAACACCCGTGAAGATCTGGGTAGAATAGGTCTTCAGCAACCCATGCTTGCCACAAAAGGCGACTATGCTTGTCGTAAGAGGCGACTAACGGGATCAGGTGGTCAGGCTCGCTGACTTGGTTGACACATGTCATCAGTTCCCAGTTGCGCAGATCAATGCTCATGCTTTTGATCACTGGATTGTCTGGTCCAGACTCGATTATTTACAGACCGCCGCCATATAGCTGGAATATTGCTGAGTGCGGCGTAAAACTAAACTCACTCACTCACTCACTTGTCCAAACTGTCATGGCCCTCTACAGCAGGTGGAGCATCTCCTACTTCTGACACCTCTGTTGTTGGTTGCAGGTTCCCTGGGGACGTCAGTGTTCGACATGGACGCCTTCCTGGTGGGTGCGTCGGGTGGAGTCTATGCCTTGTTAGCAGCTCACTTAGCTAATATACTGTTGGTAAGCAGATCTTTCTTGTTGCCCATCACTTAGCTAATGTACTGTTGGTAAGCAGATCTTCCTTGTTGCCCATCACTTAGCTAATGTACTGTTAGTAAGCAGATCTTTCTTGTTGCCCATCACTTAGCTAATGTACTGTTAGTAAGCAGATCTTTCTTGTTGCCCATCACTTAGCTAATGTACTGTTGGTAAGCAGATCTTCCTTGTTGCCCATCACTTAGCTAATATACCATTGGTAAGCAGATCTTCCTTGTTGCCCATCACTTAGCTAATATACCATTGGTAAGCAGATCTTCCTTGTTAATATACTGTTGGTACCATCAGTAAGCAGATATCCTTGTTTGTAGCCATCACCTAGCTAATATACTGTTATAGCCATTGGTAAGTAGATATACTGTTGGTGCCCATCACCTAGCTAATATACTGTTGGTAAGTACCCATCACCTCTAATATACTGTTGTTGCCCATCACTAGCTAGCTAATATACCATTGGTATCACCTAGCTAATATACTGTTGGTACCTCATCACCTAGCTAATGTTGTTGTACCCATCACCTAGCTAATATACTGTTGGTACCCATCACCTAGCTAATATACTGTTGGTACCCATCACCTAGCTAATGTACTGTTGGTACCCATCACCTAGCTAATATACTGTTGGTCACCCATCACCTCACCATAGCTAATATACTGTTGGTACCCATCACCTAGCTAATATACTGTTGGTACCCATCACCTAGCTAATATACTGTTGGTACCCATCACCTAGCTAATATACTGTTGGTACCCATCACCTGGCTAATATACTGTTGGTACCCATCACCTAGCTAATATACTGTTGGTACCCATCACCTAGCTAATACTGTTGGTACCCATCACCTAGCTAATATACTGTTGGTACCCATCACCTAGCTAATATACTGTTGGTACCCATCACCTAGCTAATATACTGTTGCTAATATACTGTTGGTACCCATCACCTACTGTTGGCTATCACCTATACTGTTGGTACCCATCACCTAGCTAATATACTGTTGTACCCATCACCTAGCCCTAGCTAATATACTGTTGGTGGTACCCATCACCTAGCTAATATACTGTTGGTACCCATCACCTAGCTAATATACTGTTGGTACCCATCACCTAGCTAATATACTGTTGGTACTGTTAGCTACCATCACCCATCACCTAGCTAATATACTGTTGGTACCCATCACCTAGCTAATATACTGTTGGTACCCATCACCTAGCTAATATACTGTTGGTAGCCATCACCTAGCTAATATACTGTTGGTAGCCATCACCTAGCTAATATACTGTTGGTACCCATCACCTAGCTAATATACTGTTGGTACCCATCACCTAGCTAATATACTGTTGGTACCCATCACCTAGCTAATATACTGTTGGTAGCCATCACCTAGCTAATATACTGTTGGTACCCATCACCTAGCTAATATACTGTTGGTATCCAATATACTGTTGGTACCCATCCATCACCTAGCTAATATACTGTTGGTGCCATCACCTAGCTAATATACTAATCATCCATCACCTATCACCTAGCTAATATACTGTTGGTAATCCATCACCTAGCTAATATACTGTTGGTATCCATCACCCCATCACCTAGCTAATATACTGTTGGTATCCATCACCTAGCTAATATACTGTTGGTACCTCTCACCCGGCTAATATACTGTTGGTATCCATCACCTAGCTAATATACTGTTGGTACCCATCACCTAGCTAATATACTGTTGGTACCCATCACCTAGCTAATATACTGTTGGTACCCATCACCTAGCTAATATACTGTTGGTAGCCATCACCTAGCTAATATACTGTTGGTACCCATCACCTAGCTAATATACTGTTGGTAGCCATCACCTAGCTAATATACTGTTGGTACCCATCACTACTAGCTAATATACTGTTGGTATCCATCACCTAGCTAATATACTGTTGGTATCCATCACCTAGCTAATAGCTAATATACTGTTGGTACCCATCACCTAGCTAATATACTGTTGGTATCCATCACCTAGCTAATAATATACTGTTTGGTACCCATCACCTAGCTAATATACTGTTGGTATCCATCACCTAGGCTGTTAATATACTGTTGGTACCTGTTGGTACCCATCATCACTCAAGCTAATATACTGTTGGTAGCCATCACCTAGCTAATATACTGTTGGTACCCATCACCTAGCTAATATACTGTTGGTACCCATCACCTAGCTAATATACTGTTGGTACCCATCACCTAGCTAATATACTGTTGGTACCCATCACCTAGCCATACCCATAACCTAGCAAACAGCTTTAGAACCATATGTGTGTCTAATCCAGAATGAAGTCTAAACTAGACCAATGCCTATTCAGTGTCAGTCTGGTCTAGACCAATTTCCAATTCAAAAAGTCAAATAAGAGTACAAGATTGCATTTTCATGAGACTTATTACTGCTTATTAAGAGTGTCAATCAGAAATGCACAAATGCTACAAAAATCAGAAACAAAATGTTAGCTTATGCGTTAGATGCGTTTTATCAAAGCAACAATTGAAAAGATGTTTACAAAGACTTGTACTTGCAATCCATCACCCACCTATGTCCTTTTGATATAAGAGCCTTGAATTATTTTTTTTATCAAATATAAATCTTCAAGTCTTGCAAATGTTTTTGTACAAGAAGAAAGTCTCATGAAGGACTTGCACATTAAAATGTTCTTTCCTCCACATGATAATATTGTATAAATGTCAGGGCTATTAACATTTAAATTTACAAATAAAGTGAGCTAAAACAAAGCTCGTCAATTTCTTATGGAAACCATAAACGCTCAGCTTTATGTTCCTCAATGGCTGTAAAGGTTTTATGTCATATTGTTATATTAATTGTTTCCTTGATCAATACAAACTTCGATTTTTCAAAATCAGATAACGAACCTTCGCGTTTAAAACTGATTGTTTTTTTATGTTGTCTATGTACCAAATTCACCCTGTAATGTGTCGTTGATACCGTTTCTTTAGTTAAGTGAGCGAGTTAAGTTTTATGCCACTTTTTACAATATTTCATCAATATCACTGCAGGGAGCACCAGAAATGCTCACACAATGTGGGGAATCGAACCCGGATCTTCAGTGTGACAAGTGCACGCTTTAACCACTAGGCTACCCCACCTCTTATTTTGTATGTGATTTTAGTGGTAGCTTCCTTTTCGATAACAAATCAGCATTTATTGACATAAATTGTGACATACAGTATACCCTGGTTATAATGCCACCCTTTGTCCAGGAGATAATATGGCATTATATCCAGGGTGGCATTATAACCAGGTAGGACAGTTAGCGGCCCTATGCAATCAACAAGGTGATTGAGCAGATGTCTCCTGTCATGCTCCTTGAATGACTGGATAAGCCCAGTGTCTAGGGGTTACAGGTGACTTATTGTTGTAGGTGGCAGGAAGTGTATTGTCACATGACATGTGACATCCCAAGTCACGGTGTCCTCCCATTACGCAGACAGCCAGTTCGCAGACACCTTAAAACAACAACATTTACGGTTCAGTGAACAGATTATCTACTACCTGTTACCTACATTATTATAATGGAATAGTCCAAATAAAAAACACAGGAACAAACTGAAGCTATATTATTTATTTTGAAAGATGGACGAAAAGACAGTAATTTGAATTTTTATTGCTGCAATATAAAAACAATTTATTTTCATAAACATTTCGGTTTAACCTTCTAGTCTAACGGGAGTCGGCATCATCATATTGAAAACACTAGCTTAGCTATTAGAAATTGCGACATTGTTGTATCATATAAATCAAATAAAGACAAATGTGAACCTAAATATTCATATGGAATAAAGAAGTTATATGTTTTGCACACAATATTATGATATATGACGAGTGCACTTAATTACGATTTATTTAGAATAAATATTCAAAATATGACGCATCATGTGATGTGGCCATGGATGTTAGAATGTTTTTCATTACTTCCTTCAACGTCCATTGTATGATATTCAAAGACATAAACTGTTACAATCTTTAGAAAGTATTGTTAAAATCAGAACACTGATTAGTATTAATCTGATCTTACATGGCAATGCAGGTGTCTCATTTACTGCAAATCAGAAATGTTTTCAAATATGTACATATCTATATCTCTCCAACAAAACGTTTTCTCAGTTAACTTCTGTTGTACACATGCTATTATTGGGAGTTTTTTTCGATCAATAAACTCAATCAAACCCTCTCAGTGACAAACCTGTTTTATATTCGATAGTAATTGATAGTAAAATCAATTTTGAGAAGAGAAATCATTTATCATTTAATCACAACAAAGTTCTATTTACCCATTAATCAAACTTCGCAGTAACGAACCTGTTTCAGGCTCACCCTGCTCTACTCACTAGACAGTGGACTGTTCCATTATACCCGTAGGTGTTACCCTAATTAACCTTCTAGTTCAGTGTCTGTCAATTGGGTGTCTGTCAAATGGGTGTCTGTCAATTGGGAGATACCCAAGTCACCTACAGTCTTAAAACAACATGTTATGGTCTGTTGACTGTTGATTACACAATGGTAAACTAGTGGCACCCCTATGATCTGAAAGTGGACTCTTCAAGTTAAAGTAGTTGAAGGACAAAAAGGATGTTACATATATGTTGCAATTAATATTTTCATATAGTTATATACAATATATGTGCAGTCTAGTATTTCATATATACAGATGAATAAGTAATGCATTATATATATAGATGGATTGCAAATCTATCTGCAAATAGATTGCATAAAGATAATAGAAAATATCCAAATATTTTCTCAACCTTAAATCTAAGTTAGATAAGGAGCTATATAAGATACCGTATGATAAATGTTCAACCGTAGACAACCACACTTGCTTTTATGCATCTTCTAGTTTACATTTAACTATAATTTTAGTTTATTCAAACTTTCAAAATTTGGGGAATTCAAGATATAACTAAG